AAAAAATATGATATTAATATATATATATATATATATTTAATGAGTATAAAATCAAAAGCTTATTAAATATTTAGAGAGTTAAGAACTTTAAAATTTTTCTTGGATTATGAAGCAACAAGAAGAAAGAGAACTAAATTGCATGAATTATAAATGAAACTTGGGCTTCTAATTGGCATAGCCTAGGCAACTGCATAGGATATTATTGGCTTATTTGATTTCGGTTTTCAAAAATAGAAAAATAAATTTTTTTAGATAAAAATGTTTTCAAAACTATTATCTACTATTATTTTTAAAAATAAAAAATGAAAACAATTTTAAAATATTTTTTATTTTTTTATTTTTAAAGTATATTGCATATTATTATTATATATTACTTCCAGTTATAGTCAACCACTATCATAAGATATTATCATTAACACTGGCAACCATCATTATCACCTTTTTTTATTTTAAAATTATTTTTAAATTAATATAATCAAATAGTTTATTTTTAAAAAATATTTAGAAAAAACAGAATAAAAACTAATCAAGCCTATCTTTACATACATACATACATATATATATATATATATATATACATACATACATACATACATATATATATATATATACATACATATAGCAAACAACAGGCCCATCTGATTTTATTTACTTCTGTCTGTTTTGAATTTCGAGTGTCTGAAACAAGGAAGAAGTTAATTGGCTTGTCAAGAACTTTAAATTTAAAATTGGGATCGATCTTTTAACGATTTGAGCTTAAGAGTGAATTTACTAAAATAACCTTATAACAAAAAAAATATGAGTTAAATTACCACATAGAAAGCTGCAAATTAGGGGAAAAGTGAAAAAAAAAAATACTCTCTCTCTTTTAAAAAATATAAAGTATTTTTAATCGAATTTCACTCTCAATAAAATTATTATCTACTTTCAAACTAATCCTATCTTTTCATATTTACCCCTATTAAATACCCTACAATAAATGTAAAATCATTATTAATATGGCACTTTTGAAAAAAAAAAATAATGATTACATCTCGAAGGACTAAACATGTCTTATATTTTTAAACATTCAACTCGTCAAAAATATTTTATATTTTTGAATAGAGGAAGTATTAAATTTTCACTTCTAACATTATAAAATAGAGTCAATAATTCAAGTAAAATAGGATTAATTTAGTACGAGTTTATTTAGATTGGGGCTTAAAATATCCAAACATATAAAAAAAATTCATATAGTCAAGTTCAACCCTAAACTCTTAGGTTTTTGAATTTATTTGGCTAGCCCGAATACTCAAATTGTCAAATATTATTTTAATTTATTTTTTTATGTTTATCTAATTTCATTTTTTATTTTAAAAAATTAATATTTTCAATTATTATCTTATTTTAATATTATTTCATTAGTAATGAAAAAGAAATTCAAGTACTCGTGTTAACCATTTGGGTTTGGATTTGACTTGAATTTTTTCAAATTTATTTAGGCAGTTAGAATAAACCTGGAGTAAAGAAAATTATCTAAATTTCGAAACTCGACTCTAAAATTTTTTAAATTTATTTGGACATCTATGTTAAGCACTCTGGCTTGGCCCAAAATACTACCTCTATAATATAAAATGAGGAATATGAGGTACAAATCAATACCAATACAATACAAATCAGGGAATATTAGTGTTAAATCTTTTATAATGGAAAATTATAATTTAAATTATTAGATTTTATAAACTGTTAAATTCAAATAGACATATGTCATTGCCCACCGAAGCTTGTGATTACAAAACAAAAAAAAAAGCAAATATGTGGTCCGTAATTATGATTTATGAACGAGACGTGGGACACATGGGCATTGATTTAGAAATTTTATAATTGAGAACTGATGATATATGGACAAATTTATAAAATGGCGAAGACGCAAAGTTTCTGGCATGAACTACATGTATGTACAGGAGAAATTATGATTCCGCTACATTATGTCTTTCATACTCCATCTAATAAAAACATATGATGATTGTAACTATAAATTGATTTGGCAATTACTAATAGTAAAAAAAGAAAAGACAAAAAATTAAATAATTTTATTTTAAAAATAAAGTCTAGTAATAATTTAACATTAAGACTGCCACTTTTTATATGGAAAGATGAATTACTTTATACGAAGATGAAAACGATTTTTAATTTGTCCATATTGGAGCCTATCATTAAAAATAATAATTATTAATACATTCTTTCACATTTTCTCCAATATTCTCCATCATATTTTATTTTAAATATAAGGAGTAGATTTTACCACAATAATAAATATCTCTATCATGTTATTAGTAGAAATAATATTAAAATTAAAAAATATAATAAATATACCGTCAGTATATTTGATTTGTAAAAAATAAAAAAATACTCACCTAGTTCGCTTTTGGCCAAAGAAGCCAAGAGGAAGTTTATGTTTCTATGGTTTGAGAAAATGACACTTTGAGAATAATACTTTAATTTAATTTTAATTTGAGACCAAAAATTTAAAAATTTTGGTCAAGAACCTTTTGTCCTTAATAATCATATAAAATTGCATAAATATCCTTTCTCTAAGATATTCCATATTAAATTTTCAAAGATAGATTGTAAATTACTTTAAAAAAAATTACTCCACAAGTTGTTATTGTTTTCCTTAATTTTAAGTTAAATTCTTATAACATATATTGTTTCAATTGAACATTATAGTTTGATTTGTTGGTATGTTAGTCCATGAAGATTACAACAAAACACTACTAGAAAAATGCAAATTAGCAAAAGATTGTCTATTCTTCTCTAAAATACTAAATTAGTTATAAAATTCATAAGAGATGTTGATTTCGTAACTTGACTTAAATTAGTAAGGAATTGTTAATTTCTTTCTAAAATAATATAAATAGTGAGAAAAATAGTAATGAATTGTCAATCCTTTTTCTAAAATAAGATAATTAGTGAGAAAAATAGTAAAGAACTGCTAATCCTTCTGTAAAATAAGATAATTAATGAGGAATTAATTTAATCCCTAGCTAATTATTGTAAAACAATTTGACTTATGACAACGACTTTTAATTATATATTTAATTATTTTTATTTAAAATTAAAATTAAATTTAAAAATTAACTAAAATATTCATAATAAAATTATTTAATATTATTTTGTATTTAGTATTTTCTTTATTTTAAGTTCATTTTCATTAATAAAATAATATCTTATTAAAAATATAATATAAAGAATAATTTAAATAAAATATAAATATTTTTAACATGTTAATGATTGAAACTAAAATTTAATATATAAGTGCATTTTAATAATATATTATTTGATATATTTGTGTAGTTAAATAATATATATTTAATTTCTCATATAATGATTGCAGTTTTTTTTTAGTTCAACTGACAAAAAGGAAAACATAAAACTTGAAAGGTTGGAAGTTAAGAGTTTAAATCTTAACTTTGACATAAATATAACGAGTGTGTGACATGATAACGAGTGAGTGACATGGTGGTCGGTAGACGATAACATATCATGAGTTGTTGCACACGTAGTGCGTAATGGGGCATAAGATGGTAGGGTAACATAGCAGTTGATGAGAGACGAAGTTGTAGACAACATGTCACAATTTAACGCAACATGACAAGTGATGTGAGATCACTGTCTTTAAATATATGCATAGTTAGCAAGGAATTAGTGAGAAATTAATCCCTAGCTAAAGTTGTCAGATTTTAAATGATATTAACGAGGGATGTGGCCCTTGCTAACAATTAGTAAGGACTGAATCCCTCACTAAATTTAGTAAGCTGTTTTTTAGTTACGAATTTAGTGAGAGATAAAATCTATCGCTAAAATGCAATTTAACAAAGAAAAATGGCATTTGGTGAGGAATTTTTATTTTGCTAGTAGTGAAAATACTTTTGAATTTATAGAAAATTTCATTTAATACTTTAAGAAAAAATAATTTAATATAATGTTCACATTTTTTAATCAGAAGACATCATCTAAATGTTTTTTTTAATACCGTGACCTTGATATAATTAGAGAATATGATACTTATTTATTTTTACATTTTAGCATTTTTATGCATTGTTTCAGAAGGATGTTATTGAGAAGCTATATCTATAAAGATTTGCCGATTAAGCTAAAGAAATTTAAAATTTTAAAAACTATAAGCATGTAAAAATAATCTAATTAAAAAAGAGAGAGAAAGAGCAAATTAGCCTCCTAAATAAGTCCATAAGTCTCTACAATGTTTCTTTTGACTCTTATTATTAATAAAAGTTAACTTTAATTATTAATTGAGCAAAAAATAACAAAAAAGACAAAAAATTTAAATAAAAGAGAAAAAAATATAGACAAGGACCCAGAAAATTTCAAAAAAGGATTAAGAAAATATTTTTTGTCTTTTTTGTAATTTTTGAAGTCTTTTTTTATCATTTTCTAACTAACTAATGGTCAAAGCAATATTTTAAAGGTTAGATCAAATGTTGAATCAGAAAATTAACAGTTCTCAGTTTTTAAAATAAAAAAATACAGGTATCAATAAAAAATATTATAAAATTATAAGAATTAATAATTACGTTTCCAAAGTTTTATTAACAAAAATTCCCTTTTATAGTTCCAAGTATATCCTCATCTATCTCCCCACTTTTTTTTCATTTTTGACGTTCTTTAATTTGCCCCTCCACCACTCCCAGAATTATATCATCTAAATGAAATCTTTTTGCATAAACCGGATAATTTTTTTTTAACATTAAAACTAAATGACATACAAGTGTCCAGGAATTAGAAAATAATTATAACATTTCAGGATGCAAAATTATTATTTACATATTTTGGGGATATTCTTTTGTCATTCTCCCATTATTTTAACTACAATCTGTTTTTTATAATTAGACTGAGAAGCAGTGTCAATTCTTAGGATCCGATCCACATATAATTAATTCACACCAGCTCTATATAAAGGAGCTATTGGATCTAGCTGGGACTACACACACATACTTAACTATCAGAGATGGCGATGCTGAGCTCAAAACACAGTCATTGTTTCTGCTTCATCACATTGTTGCTTCATTTTGGCCTTCTCTTCCTCATCTGCGCTCAACCTGCTCACTCCTCTGCTGGTTCCACAGTGGAGTTTCTTCCTGGCTTCCATGGACCCCTTCCTTTTCATCTTCAAACTGGGTATATTCATGTATCATTCTCCATCATTGTAAGAATATATCAGCTTCCTTAATCAGTTAATTAAATATGTTTTTGTCAGGTACGTGGGACTTGGGGAATCTGCAGAAGAAGTTCAAGTTTTCTGTTATTTCGTCAAGTCTGAGAACAATCCTCAAGACGATCCTCTCCTTCTTTGGCTATCTGGAGGTCCTGGTTGCACTTCTTTCGCTGGCCTCGCCTTTGAAATAGGTTTACTTCATCTTTAATTGATTCTTCTCTCTTCAGCTTCATATATATATATATATATATATATCCTGCGTGCATGGTTTCGTTTGTTTATCAAAATACAAATATGTGAAAATTAATCATTTTATTTTTATAATTTTGATTTAGTTATAACTTAGTTCTTGAACTTTTACTTAAAACATAACTAATTATTTTTTATAATTTTAACTCAATTGAACCTTAATCATTTTGGACTTTGACTTGGTCCTTATATCTTTTAGAATAAAATTATATATAAGGACTAAAGTTAATTCTTGAAACTTATGATGAACTAATATTTTAAATGACTATAAGAATTAGATTACTCAGTTTCAACATAATTGGCAAGATTAATTGTAAAGATTGAGTTGCACTAAGTAAAGTTTAGATATTAAATTATAGCTAAGTCAAGATGATAGAGATCAAATGATTAATTAATTTTCCGTTGTAATATTAATTTTCTGTGGCTTTGTATATGATACAGGTCCATTCACATTTATAAACCAAGAATACAATGGGACTTTGCCTAACTTAGTCTTAAGGCCACAATCATGGACTAAGGTTATATTATCTATAAATACTAATTTTAATTTGTCTTCAAGTTTCTCCCCCCCCTCTCTCTGTGCAATGTGACACTAATTAACGTGAAATTTTTGGAAGATTAGGTAAGTAATATAATTTTTCCAGATTTGCCCGTTGGAACAGGCTTCACATATGCCAAAACAGAAGCTGCTAATCAATCAAGTGACTGGGGCCTAGCTCATCATGCTCATCAATTTTTAAGGAAGGTATTTCAATTATTCAATTCTCTTCTCAAATTTATCACAAATCAAATTATTCATTTCTCATCATTATGTTATGTTAAAATATTCTAAGTGATTATTAACCTTATACGGTCTCTTGAATTTTGAATCATGCTTAAACAACTCTTCGTGTGAACAAATAATTTCTGTGCGTTAATATCAGTGAGTTATTTTACTCTCGAAACATGATTCACCAATGATAATTAATAAACTTCTTTGTTTGTTAGTTTTTTTCCCCAAATTGTCAGTTAACATTTTCGTGCAAATAACTTTATCAAATTTTGAAATCTATATTATACAATAACTAGAGACTATAGCAGGTAATTTGGATGTGATGGACTCAATTCGAGCCAAATATAGCAGGTATTTGGACGTGATGGACTCAATTCGAGCCAAATATATTCCAATTAAGTTTAAAATATCTAAACATATAAAAAAACTCATATAATCAAGCCTAATTATAACACCTCAAAATTTCGCACTACTACGAATTAACATTATTTTATGTTTCCTTCTTTTAAACAAATTTTAATTTTTTTAAATTTTTTCAAGTAATATAACACTAGAACACTTTGTATTCTATATGTATTAAAGTGAGATCAAGCATTTAAAGAGTAAAAATGAAAGCATATAAAGGATAACTAATTCTTATGCTTATTTTTTCCTTATACTTTAAAATATGCTCAAAATAAATAATCATTAAAACATTAAAACTTCATTTAGGGGTGCAAAATGAATGTATGGGGGATGATTTGTCAATGCTAAGTAAAAGTTAAAGTGTAAGTTAATTTTATTTTATTAATAATAAAAAAGATTATAAATATTTGAGCTTAACTCACATTTCTTTATACTTACCCAAGCAACTCAAATAAATTCAAAGTAAATTTTTTTTAACTCTTAAACCTAGCACTAAATTTTTTTTGAGTTTAATCAAGTTGTCCCAAATTATCAATTTTTTTTTTTTTTACCATCGCCCAAATTACCAGCCCTTACTAGAGCCAAATAAATGAGCGCCAACCATGAACTGGCTTTTAATAGTGGGCTTCAAAATAATAAAAAGAACACACGATGTGAAGCCTTTATGCCCGTCTACAGGCCTAAACTGGCCAGTTTCCCTTTTTAATGTTAAATCAATTCATTTTATAAAAAAATATATTTAAGTTTATGGTATAACATTATGGTGTAGGAGTGCACATGGGCAGGGCTGGGTTGGGGAAGACCTTGCCCGATGCCCAGCCCGAAGAATGAATGGGCCGCAAAATACAGCCCGATACCCAACCCTACCCGCAAAAATGCCCTATTAGTTTGGGCAGGACAGGGTTAGTTGGGCAGTTTTGGGCTGCCCAGCCCATCAAATAATTATCCTGCTCATAAAATAACAATTCTTTTCATCATTTCAAAATAAAACTATCACAAATCAATAACAAGAACCCTATATATCAACTTAAAATAGCATCCATAAAATCATAAACTATAAATCCACAATAATAGCCACAATATTCAATTATCCATAATTCAACATCTAACTTGAAATCTAAAACTATCACAAGTCTTGGTACAATATCAAATTATTTATAATTCAATCCAAAATAATAGCTATAATCCAAAATAACAAAAACTTAGAGTATCATCTGAAAAATAATAATTTCAAAGAGTAGGCTCAAATTCATAAAAAACCTCTTCCCAATTCCCAACTTGCATGAATGAAAGAGAAAAAATATGTCATAACTAAATAAAAAAATTGCAAGAACATACATGAACATTTAAAGCAAAATGGAAAACAAAATATGAGAGAATTGACAACAATAATATATAAGTTTGCTAAAAAAATTAGCAAGAAATCATAAAAAAGTTAGCAAAAAATTAATAGAAAAATTAATAAAAAAAATAAAAATCGGGCTGGGCTAAATGGGCAGGGCTGCATGACTTGCCCACTGCCTGGCCCTACCCGCACTTTGCCCAGCCCAAACATGTATAGAACATTTCGGGCTTTTTTTTTTGGGCCGGGCTGGGCAAAAAATAACCGGGTTCGGGTGGGCATATCGGGCAACCGGGTATCATGAACACCCCTATTGTGGTATAAGTTTATGATGTATGTTCAATTTTTTTTTACAAATACAATTCTTTTATTTTATCTAATTATGTTTTGTTTAATTCTTTGCATTATGACAACTATTTAAATTTAAATTATCAGATTTTAAAACATTTGTATTACACAGTGTATTTTTATTTATCCTTTAAAATAACGTTTTGAATTTAAATATTATAATTTATATGTTATATTTACATTACTAATTTTATATTATAATAAAATGAAAACTTCATGTGCGATCTTACATGCCTAACTCTAAGACTTTGTAATATACTTTATCCATCCCAAATTATAAAATAATTTTAAAAATACTTTATTGTCTTTAAACACCAGACAATTTTATAAAAATAAAATTTTATTAATGATATTTTTAAATATTATTTTTCAAGTAGAGAGAGAATTAAAATAATTATAATGCAATTATTAAGTGTATAGATTAAAAATTACTATGGGCAAATTTTTATATCATATGACAAACAAGATTCGCGAGTTTGAGCCCTGAGGACTCACTACACAAGGATCAGGCCGTTTCTCAATTCTGATATACCTTAATACTACATCCGTTTTCAAATATAAAAAGAAAAAAATCAATTCACACAATTTTAAAAAATTTATTTAAGTATAATAATTATGTTTGAGATTAAAAAAATTTAGACTAAATTATCCCTATAATTAATGAAATAAATTTGTCTAGTGAAGAAATAATTTGAGATAAATGCATATAAATAAAAACAAAAAGACAAGTAATTTTTCTTATATTCTAAAATGAAGAGAGCAGTTGTTGCCCACTTTTTTATTAAGCATGAGAGATTGTGAAATTGAACCTCAAGGATGTACATTATACCAAACCCTTGAGAATTCGATCATTGAAAAAGTATGGAGATGGTGTACTGTTATGTACTCTCGCTTAAGTAAATGAGCTTGAGGGGGTCTCACTCTCAACTTCAGCAAAGACACCTAGGGGTTACCTTTGACAAAGGAGGAGGGTGAACAGTAGTCTTTTAGTCTAGTAGAAGTAAATTTCCTACTCCTCTAGTCCTACATTAAAAGGGTAGAGTGTTTGACTATTTATAAGATACTTTTATGATTTAGAGAGAGAGAGAGTGTGTGTGTTTGACTATTTGTTTTAATCTTATTTATAAGATATTTTTATAATTTTTGTATCCATTTTTATCCTTTTATCTTTATTAAATATTAAGAAGGTTATTAAATGTAGGCGTCTTTCTTATTTTTAATATGTACTTCCTTTGTCTCTAGTCCTATTTACTCTATAAGTCATTCAATTTTCATCATGTTTTATTAGAATCAATAAAACCCTTAAACTTCATTAATTTTGTCTTAAAATTTAATAAATTTTCTCCTCCCAAATAAGAGCAAAAAAATTATTGTTAATAATTTTCTCTAATATTAATTAATAAGAGAAAAAGTACAAATGAATATAAAAATAATGAAATTTATTTTAAATATGATTAAAATTAGTCTTCTCTCTCTATCTATTAATAGGCATCATGTTGAAAATTTGTTGCATATTTAGACAGAATTAATAAAGTTTAAGGTTTTTCTTTGTTTGAAATTACTTATAAATATAATGGAAGTGAGTATCTTACAGTGACACATCACATCCCACTAAATTAAATAAATAATGGGCTTATTAATAATAAAATGACTGTTTGCATAAGTTTATGAATTTAGGCATTCGTTATTAAGCTTTAAAGGTGGGAATTTTATATAATTTCGTCTTTAATATTATATACATGAACTAGTAACACATATTCTTATTTTTTTTTAGTGGTTAATCAATAATCCAGAATACCTATCACATAAAGTGTATGTCGGTGGTGATTCTTATTCTGGCATTCCTATCCCGGCCTTGTTTCAAGAAATTTTATATGGTACAGTAACACGAGTCATCATTGATTCCATCCTATTTCTACATGTTAATAATTACTAAGGATGTGTGTGTATATATATATAGTTTTAAATAATAAATTGACCCCTTAAATATAGATTTAGAGTGTTTGAAATTTTAAACTTATTAATTTTTTATGCAATGTTCCCTTTTAACTTTTAAAACCTGTACAATATTGTCATACTGTTAATAAAAGTTAATTTTGATCATTAATTAGGTGACCATAACATTGCATAAAAAGGTCAAGAAAATTTTCTTTGTCCTTGTTTTTTTGGTATAGTCTAAGTTTTTTTTTTTGTAATTTTTGAGGTTCTTATCCATAATTTTTTATGTCATTTTTTATAATTTTTTAGTCAACTAACGATCAAATATAACTTTTATTAATGGTAGAGGCAGCATGACACCGCTTTTAAAAGTTGAAGGGGAATATTGTCATTAAAAATAAATGAAAAAATAGCAATCAAAGACCTTTGTATGAAATTGTATCAGTTAAGGATAATTTGTTGTTAAAACCCGAATAAATAATTATCAATTCTATTGGGTTATTAAATTAATAAGTATTTATTTGATTTTTAACAACAAATAATATTAAATTAATAACAGTTTATTTGAGCTTATTTTTCATTCAATTTTTAACAACTTGTCATTGATTAATATAAATTTCATATAAGGATTCTTGCTTGCTATTTTTTCAAAAAAAAAAAAAGAGTCTCAGACATTTCTAAACCTATAGTTTAGGATTCAATTTGTGATTTAACCCTATATATATATATATATAATGTATTTAAGGGTTAAGGACTATATATATATAATTCAACCTAATAATTCAATTATTCAATGAGTTGCAGGAAATGAAAATGGGGTACAACCGCGGATAAATATTCAGGTTTAAAATCAGGATCTCTATTTCTGACATCAATTATTAAAAGTTCAATGTCAACCCGAATATAATTAAATTTAAATGATGAAGATTTTGAGATATTAATCTTGTTTTGTTATGATTATAGGGATACATCCTTGGGAATCCCCTGACAACACGCCATGAAATAAACTATGAAATCCCATTTGCTCATGGAATGGGACTGATTTCTGATGAACTCTATGAGGTAATATTTAATAATTAATATCATCATACTCATTCTGATTCACAATTGATATAGCACATTGGTAACTATTTCATGATTTCAAAGTTAGTTAAAATTAAGTTTTTTAAAATTGTATATATTTTTTAGGATAAAGTATATTTTTAGTCTTATAACTTTACATAAAGTTTTAATTTGATCCTTTAACTTTGTAAAATATCTTTTTAGTTTTTTAACTTTAATATCGTTAATTTTAAATGATTATTTTTTATGTCAGTTATTGTTATTTAAAAAAAAATAAACATAGTATATCAACATTTGAGAATGTTTTGTCAATATTTAAAAGGTCAATGTAAAAATTTATTAAAATATAAAAAGATATTAAATAAAGTTAAGGGGTTAAAATAAAATATTGTATAAAGTTAAATGACTGAATGTATAGTTTAGCCTATTTTTTATCCGAGGAAAACCTATATAATTAGCCTTATATGCTTCATGTGCTTGTTTTCAATTAAATTAAGATATGTGAATCTTTTTATAAATGATTTATTCTATAATGCATTCTTGTTTTTAATTTTATTAACACATTAATATCTATTTGTCATGATTTAATTGTATGTCATGATTTAATTATATATAAGTATATTAAACATATAAAATTAAGTCAATAAGTCTTACCTTAGTTATTATACTTTTATTAAATGCCCTATATAATTAATGCCTTAATAAAACAAAGAAATTTCAACTGAATTTTTTTTCAAAAGGAATAGTAAAAGAAGTAAAAAAAATTATAAAAACTATCCAATACATTATATTTCAGACGAAGTAGGGCCTCTAAAAAATAATCTCCATTATAAACCAAAGGAAGTAATTAATATATCTATGTTATATTTTAGGTAAATATATGTATTGATAATTTATGGAAAATGCTAGATAGATTAATAACACGTGGCATTGCTAGGACGTCATTTGATTAATTGTTGTCTTTTTTAAGAACAGTCATTACAGAAATATTGTGAAGGAGAATATGGAAATATAGACACCAATAACTTGTCATGTCTCAGAGACTACCAATTATTCCGAGAGGTAATAGCCAAAGTTATATGGATTTTCCCCTCAATTTTGTTTTAAAAATTCCTTCAATTATTTTGGATTCTTTAATTTCTTTTTGATTTAATTTGCAGTTAATTGAAGAAGTCGATGTCTCTATGATTTTGGAACCCGGCTTTTGTGGCTATAAAATGTTTGTTATTCCCCCAAGAAATTCTTTGATGAAGAGATCTCTAGTTCAAAAAGTAAAGGGTATTAGTATTCCATCAAAATGTCGGGTAATTCTTTTGCATTAACTTACATTCTCAACTTCAATCTAATTTTTTTCATATTAAAATTAAATCTAGTTATACTCCTAGTTTTTTTTATTAAGAACAAAATATAAAACTAAGTAAACAATATTTTAAGTATCAATCTTTTAAGAAAATTAAATCGGTTGAATTATCAATATTTTAATCTACCTTATTCTTAAAATATTGATATTTTAATATTTACATGTCAACTTAAATTTACAAGTAAATTTGCATAATTTTTTTGCACTTGTTATTAAAATTTTACATGTTGAATTAGAGGCGAATTTTTTTTTTTTTACAAGTTAACAATAGCAAAAAATACTTAGGTTCACTTATAAATCTAAGATGTTGACATGAAAATCTTAGATATTTGACTTGTAAAAATTTTAAACGTTTGACTTGTAAATGCAAGTAATAATTAGCAATAAAATTTATAAAAATAATTATTTTCTCTGATTGACGATTGACTGGTCGGTTTACAGCAACTGGTCAATAAGCGTAGGTGGTTGACCAACGGTCACCAACAAGTGGTGAAAGTTGGTTGAAGCTTTCGTTAAAGACCACGGATATAAGGATATTTGTGTCATCCACGGTAGAAATTAATTTCAGCCAAGTTTTAAGGAAGTTGAAAGTACTGTTTAAAATTTACAGGAATTATTTGTAAATAATATATTCCTTCTATACTCAAAAAAAAAAGAAAGAAAGAAAAGGATTTGAAATTAGTGAGTGTCTTTAATATACTCATTCAATGAATGTTTTAATTACAATTGTTGGATTTTATTAATACTTAAAAATTATTAATATATATTTCTTTTAAAAAATTCAAAACAATCAACATGATGAAAACACTTTTTACTCATGTCTCCTGTAAAAAATTCAGATTTGATATTTTTTAAGTTTTATATGATAAAATCTTTGATGGCTTTTTGATTAAATCAACTATTGTTATTGTGACACATGAAACACTTATTGAGTGAATATACTCAAGCCATTTACTAGATTCAAATTTATGTGTGTTTACTTCCGAAGAACATAAAAGTAAAAAAAAAAAAATTGATTTATCATCATGTCATGTAAAATGGCAACTCCACTCAATTGTAAAATACAATGGTACAGTCTGAAAAATTCATAATGATATAAATTTTTATAAAAATTGATAATCAATTTATGACTTTTCCCCTTCTTGCTTATACTTTGTTTAATGTTTAACATCATTACTTTCCTTGCTTTCTTTGTTATAGCGACTTGGATATTTGCAAGCTCATTACTGGGGCAATGACGATGACGTTCAAAAAGCACTCCATGTTCGAAAGGTAATTTAGATCTTGAGAGTTTCCACTCCTCTCTCTCTAAGAAAATTCAAGGTGCTGTAAATCGAATATTCCATTTAACCAGTTAGATAATAGTTTAAAGATTAATGGTAAAAATTATTGATCTTTTTTTTAATAAAAAAATCATGGTTTAAATCATGGATAGACTGGTCATGTATAAAATATTTTATCAAATCAATTAAGGTACTGATTTAATAATTTACCTGTTCAACTAGATGGTTGAAATGAATTTAAATACTATAATAAAATCATTTAATATTTAATATTATCAGATTACATTTGAGTATAATCAAATCTAATTAAGATAGCTTCATATGTTGATAGCAAGAGTGTGATGTAAAATATCATAACTGCACGTTAATAATAATAATAATAATAATAATAATTGATCATTTCTTATTTTCTTTCCATCTGTCTAGATAGTACATCATTTACATTCATTCTTGTAAAATGAGGAAATTCTGTGTAAATTTTATTACTATTTTCAATAGTAACATTTCCTCTCTTTTTTTAAGAAAATCTAATTAAGAACACAAGCAACATCTATAAAATATTATTTTTTTTCTTTTATGCTATTTTCATTTTACCCTCAACTTGAGCTAAAATTTAGATGGTTTGTGTTGGCAGGGAACAACATATTATTGGAGGCATTGTAATTACGATTTGAACTATAAGCAGGACATTGATAACAGCTTTTATATTCATGTAAATCTCAGTACAAAGGGTTATCGTTCTTTGATATACAGGTTAGGGTTTGAATTAATAACTAGTTTCTCTTTATATATTTTGTCTAACTATAGAGAGATTAATATGTTCTAATTAATCCTGTTGATTTTTTCTTAACATTTTATGGAAACTTAATAAATGAAATTTTATTGTTTGTGTATAGTGGGGATCATGACATGACGATTTCCTTCTTATCAACACAAGCATGGATCAGATCTTTAAATTACTCTATCATTGATGACTGGAGACCTTGGCATGTCAATGGGCAAGTTGCCGGGTATGTATGTAATATATATGTATGCGCGTGAGGGCATCAAATGTATGCTTAAAAGATTATATACAATTTTATAGTAATATTATTTATGTCAGGTCATTTTATATTTAATCCCACAAATTGAGGGGATCAAATGCACGTGCGTGCATGTAAGCATATGCATGTGTGAGCGCATCAAATGCACTCTCTCTCTGTTTTTTTTTTTTTTTTAAATACTACCTCAGTCTAATGGTCGAGATGCAAGGATCCATGGATCTAGAGATATGTATATGAGGAGGCAAATGTCAAATAACAAAAAATACAGGGGCCTGGAGTTAATTTTAATTATCTACAAGAAAAATTAGTACTAATTTAATAAAAAGTAATTATACTTTGAGAAAGGCTGTTAATTTGCCCCCTCTAGATCGGTCTCTGTCGTTAGGCCTTAGTAGTTTGAAACCATATTAATTTTGAGTTTTGTTTAGGGTTGACGTGGTGACATCTATCAAGGTTACATTGCATCACTTTTAGGCAAATAACATTTGTCGTCATTGATAAAGTATTAAAAATTGAATCGATAATTAAACTAGTTGAAATTTAGGGTTAGAAGTTCAATATCAAGGTTGAATTGGGGGTCAAACAGGTCATAATAAAATAATATAATTAAAATAAAAACACATTAATTCTTAATATATTTATCCATATTTAAGACTTAATATCTCATACATACAACATATAGTAGTACTTCTAACAATAATAGAACATAACAATATTCCAAATATTATTCATCCTTATAATAAAATTAATATATTTTCAATTACATATTAGTTATGTTATGTTACATAAAAAATACAAAACAATAAATAAATTTCAAATAACAACAATATTAAGGTAAAAATATATAGTGTTAAGAGTAAAAAATGTCCCTAAAGTACACATAAAGGGTTACAAATGACCTTAAACCCTGCACTCTATTTCATCTCCTTCTCTCTTCCCTCTCTCTCCTCCCTTACTCTCTTCTTCATTTCCGTTATTGCCACTTCTTTCTCAAGATTTCTCTCTCCTATTGGGAGTCCTCTATCTTGCATGCGTGCACGCATGCACGCTCTCTATCTCTCTCTCCACACACGCGCGCATGTGTGCATACACACACACGCACACAAAATTTTGGTTCTGAAGGGAGGTGGTAGACTAGCGGGGGAGTCAAATGAGGCCACAAGGGAGAGAGGGAGAGTGTGGTAGTGCAAACAAGCGTGTGTGCATGTGTGAGCAAGTGTGCGTGTATCGTGTCCAGCCTATCCACAATAGTCATCGAAGTTATCATGGTGTCGGTGAGGATGACGACCAGAGGGAGGAGGGAAAGGACAAGAAGATGGGAGAGAGAGAAAGCAAAGGAAAGAGTATGGAGAGGGAGATTGAATGGAGGAGAGAAATAGGAGAGAGAGGAAGAGAAAGAGTGAGAGAGACATCATCTTGCACTGTGAACAAGACTTAGCTAGTTGAGGCTATCGAGGATGGCCTTGTAGCTGAAGCATGCAAGGCTATCGACATTGTACTGGTTCGAGACGTATTTGAGGAGGTCAATGAGGGAGGGGTTGTGGGAGATGAAGTGATGCCGAACTTATAGCTAAGACGGAGGAAAGAGAGACTATAGAGAAGATAGAGAGACTATATAGAAGAAGGGGGAGAGAGAGAGGAGGGGGAGAGTTGGGAGGGAGAGAAAAGGTGGAAGGGAGAGATTAAATTATTAAAAAATATAAAAAAATTTGGTGGGCCTAATAATGCAATATTTTATAATAAATAAATATTAAAAAATTTTAATGTGGGTCCAGCTAATGAAGGAATTGACAGTAAAAATTTTAAAAATCTTAGCGGTTAAGGGATATAAATAACCCAGAGTTAAGTTTAAGGTCATTTATGGCCAATTTTTTTACACTTTAAGGATATTTTTAACCCTTAACCCAAATATATGAAGTAACATTGTTATTGCACACATGTGCGTGCACAGTTACATACATGAGAGGAAATAAGTAGCTTAAACATTTATGCCCATGCTTGTTATATTATTTTATAACCTTGTATATTTAAAAATTTAGACATTCAATCTACTCTTACTCATCTATTCCTAGTCCATCACGTTTGAAAAGAAAAGAGATAGAGATAAGGAGTGTAATTTAATTGTCTAGAGGATATTAAGTCTATTTCGCTGCTACCTATCTTTTTTGCTTTTCAAAATACACACCTAAGTTAAAAGAAGAGCAACGTTTAAAGACAAAGAGGTAAGAGAGAGGTAGAGAATAGTCGATAGTAAATCAGGTAACCATAGAGATGATGGAAGTGAAAAGGGGAAGAGCACGATCAATGATAGCGAGAGACCCATTGTAAGGTCTCCCTTACTTAACCACACTTAACTCCAAAATTAAGGTAATTAAGGGATTAACCCTCAAAGGATTACCAAAGTTGTACAATTACATAAATTATAAATAATTTTCAAAACATATATAATGAGATCCTAAAACTAAATTTTCAATCTCAATCACATACTTAACATGTTCAAATCAGAGTTTAAAGACAATGCGGGAGCTTGGAAATCAAATGAGACCTAAAACAATGAGTTTTAAAACTCAAAATAGGGTTTTGTATAGAAAGCGACACATACGCTGTAGCTTGTAACATATGTGCCACGGGTCACCCTTTGTGCCATGTGCCATGGCACATTGCATGAATTCCATAGCATCAGTTGTTGTTATTTGACAGCATAGGGAGCAAACTTCCAACGGGTCCCAAATCTTCGTCCGACATTTGATTGAGATGGTTCAGTGTCTATATGAAGTTTTCTTCTAACTCTAGCTAATGGCACTGGTTTCATACTCAAATTCTTTTTCTATAAAAAGTTAGACACATAAACCTATTTTTATCACATTTTGCATAAAACATACAACTTTGGTGTCTCAACTCAACCACAAGTGCAAAAGCCTATAGCAACCCTCTGATCACACTCAATGGACTTTTGCGAACCTATGCAATACACCATACCCAACCAAGACACACATATTTTTAAAAATCACCATTCAACCTTAAATTTCACAAAACACAAGGGGGAGGAAAATCAAGCAAAAAATCATTATTTCATTCCAAATATTTCAAAATACATATGTTCCTATTTGCACAAGTATTTTGGCCCTGTCTATAGCTTACAACCAAAACTCATTAACCTAGGGTATACAACATACAAGTTGTACACAAACTAATGCAAGGAGTGTAAAATAATGTTAAGTGATCCTAGTTGGCAATTGCATTAACATATACACATAAAAACAACAAAGAGAGGCATGCAGAAAGGATAACTCCACAATTATAAGCCTTTGTGTATTTTCCTTGACTTAGATCCAATGAGCTAAGCCATGAAAATATTGAGAATTAAGGTGTGAATACAACCACTCAGTAACCAAGTTTTACTTAATCTATACAGTTGCATATTAATTGTAAATAGTTGCAAATAAGCAAACACACTATATAACATATATGAGGAACTTGACCATAGTTTACAAAACTAAAAACTATGTGACTGGGCCCAAAACATACATAATTATGTTATTTTGCAAAGCATGAAATGGGGTCACAATAATACCAACCATGCACCCCTAACTCATACCAAATCACAATACTAACAATCATGTGGTCGGATTTATATATATGATTAAATGTCAAACTTATACCCTCCTGTTACCTTTATGGACTAACTCAGCCTTTTACTTATAAGGAGCTATCAGACCAGGGTTAACTCATTCACTTATGTAATTCGATTTTTTTCAATACTAATAACTATGGGGTATCATACCCCTAACCTAGCCTCGTTATGAATCAATGAAGACTAGTTAGGTTTAAGTCCCTTATAGAACAAGTGGGACAGTCTTGAATTAACTATAGGATAAGGGCTACATCTCGATTCTAACTGTCGGTGCTATGGCAAGTTCTTGATTCTAACAGTCATTACCAATACCACGTGGATCTAAATCAATATACTCCTCTTCCTAGGTAAACTCCTTCCAATGATTATGCTATGCACATTTCTCACATAATATGAATTTTAAACAATCAATTCATAGCACATAAGCTCACATACTCATACTAAAATACTACACATACTCAACATATTACATATTACAATTCTCCACTCACAATCACAAACTATAATCAAATTCATAAATCACAAATGGGTAGCATAATCAAGGTTTTTCTTTTTAAAACTATTTCACAAGTTAAACATATTGTTAATATGCACCATTAATTTAAATCATCAACCATATTTCACAACACAATTAATATTTAACTATAACAATTAGATTTTTCCTGATTACCTTAAACCTTTGAGAAGTCAAAAGTTTACCCCTCACACAAAGCACCTTTAAAGCTTTTCTTAAGCTTGAATAGTGCCAAATTACACCAAACTACATTCATAACACAAGGATACCATCATTATCTCATTTTTAAGGATTTACCAACATAAATTTCCACACACTCTATTTTGTTAATCATAAATTTGCTACCTATTCATACCCAGGGTTCATTAGATTCTATTAAAGCACATTATCATTTATAAATCTCCAAACCACCATTAATGGACACAAACCTCTCCCAACTACCTTATTAATGATAATTTTTGGACATTAATGCTTTACCCAACTAACTTTGAATAAAATTATCAATATAGGGTTTATCTATCTTAAAAAAATCCCATTATATCCATTTAATCCAATGGAATTGGACCATAACTCCTATGGATTGAAAATCAACTTTTCAACTTAAACCCTAACTTAAAACTCTATAAATGAGGGAGAGAAAAGGAAAAAGAAGGCATGGATTACTTATCTTAGGTGTTTGAGAGCTTCAATCTATCCTTAGTGTGATCTAACAATATGTCCTAGCAGAGCTTTGGTTGAGCTCTTCATTTTCTTCCTCTCCTCTTCTCTAATTTTTCACACAAAAATGCATTTGATTTATCATATTTTTAGCTGTGTGTCACGGCACACACTACCTTTTGTCGTGGTGCATGGCACAAAGAGACTATCACATTTGAATCTACCTTCATGGCATGTAGCATATAAGGCATTCCTTTCTTCTTTCTCTTTCCTTGCCTGGGTGATTTGCTATCGATCTGGACCCATTTCTAGGGCTAACATTACAATAAATTACATAATTAGGCCTCTTTAGCCACACACCTCATTAACTCACTAATCACACTTATTGGGTTGATAAATCAAGATTAAATTTTCTCAGATGTTACACCCACCATAGTGACAATGACAGACCCATGGTGAATGAGAAAGAAGCTATTGAAATGGAGAGTTTGAGAATGTTGAGAAGCAAGAAGTAGCTAAGGAATTGAAAGGAAGGGATAGAAAAGAAAAGAGAAGATGAGCGAAGGAACAAAGAGATAGACACCATTGGTTATGGTTGAGGCTTATATTTGATTCTGATATGATTAAAATGGCATTGACTTGGGGGTTTAAAGGAAAAAGTAGTGACCTGTTCAACTCATCTAACTTGGAGTTTTCCCCAAGTCACCTAAGTTGATTCCCACCTAAAAAACTAGTAAATCAGACTGGACAAGGTCAATTTTTGGTCCAGCTGAACTGATCCCCAATCTGGTTTCTAACCAATGGTCACTGATTTTCAACTTTCAACAACAACTATATCTTAGCATTGACCTAATTGTATACTTTCAATGACATCTTTTCAATTTTTAACTGTTAAATTTTTCACCATTGAAAGTTAATTTTTTTTAATGGTTGTCTTTGTCCATTATATCAAAATAATAATTAACTTAATTAAGATTTGCACTGAATTTTATGAATACTAGTTATTCTTACAAGCTATTTTGTTTCCCTTTGAAATAGATACACAAGAACTTACTCCAATGGCATGACATATGCAACCGTTAAGGTATATGAAAATAGTGATTTTGTACTTTTTAATAACATGCAGACACCTTTTAATTGCACTTTTTTCGTGGACACACACACATACATGAATTCAATTATTTTATGGAAAGTGCAGGGTGCAGGACATACAGCTCCAGAATTCACACCTGAAGAATGTTTTGCTATGTTCAAGAGATGGATATCTAATGAGCATCTCTAATTAGTGGATTAGCTTCCACAAGAATGCAAAAAACTCAAATCTTGTGTGTTTTTACGATCCAAGCCAGTGTGCTATATTCGATTTGACCAAACAAAAGAAAAAAAAGTGTGCTATTCGATGATATTAGGTTTTGTAAACTTGAATAAGATAGTTGAAAGTGATTTTTATATTGAAGCAGAACAAGTAAATTTTTAAATACACATAAGAATTTATCAAATCTATGAACTAATATCTAATTAGCATATTCCAATGCATCATGAAGATATTATTATATGATTATGAGTATCTATCAAACAAGAAATATGGGATTTGGATTTCATGAGTGCCTCAGATTCTCTTATTTAATAAGTGTCCACACTGTAATCGTAGGATTTCATCAGCACTAGAAAATTCATACTTGACCAGAAATAAATGAAAGGGTGTGTTAGAGAACGGGTTTAATTATGAGGATATATTTTAATCATTTCTCTACACAATTATATAAATCGTTGGATTAAATTATAGGGTACAAAAAAAAGATAGAGCTGTAATTTACTTCTTCCATTCAAAGAGTGTTGGCATTTTAATTGAAAAAATTGATTATTAAAATGAGATTATGTTTGAAAAAATTTGCAGAAATTAATTTTGACAAAATTGAGGACGTTTAAATAATTTTTTCAAAATTAGTTTTAAGTAGATAATTCTCCTATTCAAAGAGACAAGTTAATAATAGTCAGAATTGATTTTCTAAAATGAAACAAATTTTAGCTTATTCCACATGGAGTTTTGGAAACCAAATGAGGTTTGAAAAAATTGGGGTGCTTGGATAAAATTTTTCAAAAACATAGTTTTGAACCTATAATTGATTCTAAAAGGATATCCAAAAAAGCCCTCAATATTATAAGACATTTTTTAATAAAAATATATTGTTTAAAAGTGCCTTATAATATTGAAAGGAATCATCGAGTAGTGTTTCCTCCATTTCTTGCGCTAACATTTTTAACAATCATTTAGTTGAATCGATGATTTTCTATAATGCAATATTGGGTACTTATTAGAGGATATATATGATGACTCCAAATATTTTCATGTGTTTTTAGGAAATTTCAGGTTTAATTTTGAGTCATCTAAATAATTTTGAGAGAAAATGAGACTATTATTTGAGAAAAATGAAAGAAAAGTTCTTTTGAATATAAGAAGGGAGAATTGTTAGTACCTTATTAAAATAAATGGATTACTTGAGCTAAACTTTCATTAATGATGTTATATTGTGTATATGGTAATCCAAATTAAGACTTAAAGGGCTATATGTAAGTAAACATTGAAGATGAGAAAATGCAAGATTTATGCTATGACACATCAAAATTATGCTACTGCATAATTTAGTAACAATGGGATTTATGCTGCAGCATAACCTGATTATGCCATAGCATAATCATTAGTTACTGTGTAGATTTGCCCCGCAACTTGGTCATTGACATGCCAAGGCCTCCAGTTATCAATAAAGGAGTAATTCAAAGATCTGCTCTATGCTTGTGTTGATAAGAACTAACATACCATGTCATGATCACCACTGTAAAGACTAAACTTTTAGAATTGGTTTATTATGACTATTATTTAATTTTAACTTGAAAAGGCAAAAGGTTTTGAGATTTTAGAATGCAAAAGAGTGGGGCAACTAGGCAAGAATCTAACCAAATACATGGGATTACCTGACATTTGACAGTTGAGCCAAGGAAAGTGTCACTAATTTATTTATTTATTTTGAAGAATATAGCAATCAATGAATGATAAAACCTTAACCTGTAAATCAATGAGCGATAACCTTTTGTACTGAGATTTACACGATAATAAAACCTGCTACTATACCTCATGCTTAAAAGGTATGTCCCCATTGCAAAGCGGCCAATTTCCTACAGTTCCCTGCTTCAAATGTAATTAGTCAAATAAAGACAAGACAAGAAGCTAATGAACCATAAAACACAACTAAATCATCTATATATTGAATGGGAAAAAAACAAAAAGAATCAACTCCATCAACTACTCATTCAATATAATTCATTGATTAGCATCCACAGCCGATATGCAAGTTGTTGAAGTTGGAGGGAAGCTGATATGAGCGAAGAGAAAAGGAAAGCTGATCCATTCACAAAAAGAGAAAATGGCACAAGGTACTATACTCGAGCCCATAACACATCACTAACATTATTCTCTCTCTTCTAACTAACTCTAAAGGTAACACTCAACCTTTAGCTAAAGTGAATTATAATAAAGCCCTTGACAGTAATATAGCATGTATCAATACTCCCCCTTTAAAATAGCATGTATCAATACTCCCCCTTTAAAAAACATCCTTGTCCACAAGGATAGTTGTAGCTAGAGGTGCAATAGTAGGAAAGTGGGGAAACTGTCACTGTATAACAGAGAGATCTTCCCAAGTAGCATCTTCCGGTGTAGAAAACTTCTAACGAATCAGAACTTGAGTAATCGAAAGATTGTGACGATTAATGATCTTCCTTCTTAAAATAGCTTTCAGCTCAAGCAAAAACTGGCCTTGATTGTCAACAGGAGGAAGGGAAGGGTTAACAATTGTTGAAGGACTAGCATATTGCTTAAAGGGTGAGACATGAAATACAGGATGCATTCGAGTATCAGAAAGCAACTCCAATTCATAAGAAACTGTACCAATACATTTAAAGACCTTAAAGGGTCCAAAATAGCGAGCAGTAAGCTTGTGCAAAGAAGAATTATTAAGTAAATTCTTTCCAAAAGGATGAAGTTTTAGATAAACCATGTCACCAACAGCGAAGCTACGTTCAGATCTGTGCTTATTGGCTTGTTGCGCCATTCTATGTTGTGCTTTCAATAAGTGTTACTTTAACATTTGCAGAATAAATTCACGTGACAAACAAGTTCGGTCAACTAAGTCATTGGATGAATCTCCTACGATATAAGGCAGATGAATAGGGGGTGATATGCCATAAATAGCCTCAAAAGGTGACATTCCAATAGAGGAATGATGAGCAGTGTTATACTATGATTCAGCCAAGGATAACCACTTAACCCACTGTTTAGGAAAATCACCGGTCATGCAACAAAGATAACATTCTAGACAGTGATTTAAAACTTCTGTTTAGCCATTCATTTATGGATGGTAAGCCAATGCATATTAAAGCTTGATATCATACAAGTAAAAAAGTTCCTTCCATAATTTACCACAAAAAATAGGGTCTCTGTCAGTCATTATAGATTTAGGAAAACCATGGAGTTTAACTATATTATCCATGAAAACATGAGCTACATCCACTACAGAAAAAGGATGTTTAAGGGCCATAAAATGAGCAGCAGCTTTAGATAATCTGTCTACCACAACTAGAATAGTAGTCTTAGGATAAGACTTGGGAAGACCACTTATAAAATCCATAGACAAATCAGACCAAACCTGTGTAAGAATGGGAAAGGGTTGAAGAAGTCCCGGAGATGCCACTAATTTAGGTTTAAAACGTTGGCAAGTAGTGTAAACACACATAAAATTGCAAACATCTCTTTTAAGTCCCTTCCAATAGAAAAAAGAAGCAATATGTTTAAAAGTAGGATGCATACCCGAATGCCCTCTAATGCTGTCTGCATGGAAATAAGTGAGTAAATCATTGCGTAAGCCACGGTCAGCTTCCACTACCAATTTATCCTTGCGTTTGAGCAATTGATATTGCCAAGTATATTTGGAATGAGATGCAGGATCCTGTTTTAGATCTCGAATTAATTGCAGTAAGCCATCATCAGTGAGCCAGGAATCTCGTACACGCTCATAAAGGGGAGAAATTGGAGTAGAAAGGCTGAACATGATCCATTAAAATGCCTAGACAAAACATCTACAGCAACATTCTCACTCCCCTTTCTACAAATAATCTTAAAATAAAGTCCCCACAATTTGTGCAGCCAGTTAAATTGGTCTAGGCTTAAGTCCCATTGATTTAACAGATGTTTCAAGGACAAATGGTCAGTCTTGATGATAAATTTGTGTCCTCAAAGATAAGAACGCCACTGTTTGACGGCAAAAATGATAGCCATAAGCTTGTGCTCATAAGCCGATAAAGGTTTCTTGATAGTAGCAAGAGCTTTGCTAGTAAAAGCCAAAGGATGCCCATTTTGAGAGAGAATGGCCCCCAATCCATGACTAGAAACATTGGTCTTAATAATAAAAGTGTCAAAAAATTTAGAGAGAGCAAGTATTAGGGGAGAAGATATGGCTTGCTTAAAAGTATGAAAAGCTGTAGTAGCTTTAGGGGACCAAGTAAACTTCTCAGCTTTTTTTAATAAATTAGTTAATGGTTTACTAATAGACCCATAATTTCTAATAAATCACCGATAATAACTTATAAGGCCAAGAAAACCCCTCAAGTCATAAAGTGAGGCAGGTAGTGGCCAAAAAGCGATAGCCTCTAATTTACTGGGGTCAGCTTGGACACCTTTGGCAGAAATGATATAACCCAAATAGTCAATTTGAGTGGCAGCAAAGATACATTTATAAACTTTAGCGAATAATTGGTGCTGCCGTAGAAGAGAAAGTGTCTACTCTAAATGATGTAAATGAGTTGCCCAATCCATACTATAGAACAAAATGTCATCAAAAAATACCAAGATAAATTTCCACAAAAAGGGTTTGAAAACAGAGTTCATCAGCCCTTGAAAAGTTTCAGGGGCATTAGTAAGGCCAAAAGGCACCATAAATTCATATAACCCCTCATGTGTTCTAAATGCTGTTTTAGCAATGTCATCTTTCTTCATGCGAATCTGATGGTAGCCAGCCCTTAAATCAAGCTTAGAAAAATACTGAGTTCCAATCAATTCCTCTAAAAGCTCTTCAATGATAGGAATGGTAAATTTGTCCTTTATACTAGCTTCATTTAATTTGCGATAGTCAACACAAAAATGCCATGTACCATCCTTCTTTTGGATTAAGACCACAAGGGCTACAAAAGAGCTAGAACTCTCCTTAATAATACCATTATCAAGCATTTATTGAATTTATTTTTCAATTTCAGTCTTATGTATAGGGCCACAATGATAAGGTTTATAGCTAATTGGCTTTTCAACTTGAAGAGGAATAGCATGATTAAAAGACCTAGAAGGAGGTAATGATTTAGGCTCAGCAAAAACATCAGCAAAAGAATCCAACAGTAAGTTCAAATCATGTTATTTATTTGTAGGGAGAGGAGAATTAGAGTCC